CCCCCCCCAAACCAGGTGAACCCTCTTCAGGGATGCCATTGTCCTGTTGTAGAACTCAAGCAGCCCACCAGATGTTTTTGGACTGCAATTTCCAGCATTCCTTACTATTGGCTATATTGCTAGAACTTCGCAGTCCAAGAACATCTGTAAGGTGCCCATCCCTATTCCAGCTAGTGGCTGTTGGTATATCTATAATGAGATTAGGGTTTGTTTTTTTCCATACTTGTGGCTACAAATGGCACCATGTATTCTGGTACACCAGGGCTCTTCTGTCATCTTCTGTGACATATGTAGACAAGCCCAGGGAAAACTAATTTACACTCCTCTCCTCCCCCCGCCATCTTCCCAATCAACTACATGTTAATAGCATGAATGAAAGGAGGAGGTATCTATGGAAGTGGAGCAAGCTTGTTATCTGTTGCTCTGGAAACTAGGAAAAGAACAAATGCATTCAAATTGCACATACACAAATGATTCCACCTAAATATTATGAAGAATGCCATTGTGGTAGGAACTGTTCAACGGTGGAACAGATTGCCTCAGAGGGTAGTGGACTCTCATTCGTCGGAAGTCTTTAAACAGAGGTTGGATGGCCATCTTTAGCTGCCAGGGGATTGGACTGAATAGCCCTTTTCCTTTCTACCTCTATGATTCTAGGATAAAAAGAGAATCTGTTCCTTTACTATCATTCTGTCTCTCCCTTCCATTTGACTCCCTTAAGTAGATTAAAAAATGCAGGCTACCCTATGATGCAGTTTGGGAAGAGATGAGCATATGAAAAAGAGGGCAGTCATTCTTCCCCTATCTGTAATGTAATTCATATTCTCTTAACACCCCCACTTCTGCTGCAGCACAGCTTCCTAACAACCGCACAAAAGCAAAAATATAACAGGCAATTTTTCCTGGCTTAGATATATAGCCAAACAAGAAACTGAACCTGCTAGGATTTTTTGGCAGGAAAGTGTCTATACTGCACCTATTTAAAGTACAGGGAACTTAACACACACAAAAAGACAATGGTCCCACTTCCTCATTCTCAACCTATCTTTAGTCCAAAACATACTGCAGAAATAATTGAGTTTGAGACCACTTTAACAACCCTGACTCAATGCTAGGGGATTCTGGGAACTGTAGTTTTGTGAGACATTTAGCCTTCTCTGTCAGAATGCTCTGGGGCCAAAATAAACTACAATTCCCAGTTTTCTCTAGCACTGAGCCAGGGCAATTAAAGTGGTCTCAAACTGGACAATTTCAGCAGTGTGCTTTGGATCTTGGTGATCCTCCCCATCCTGAGCCATTTCAGGTATTCATGAAATACCACCTTTCCGCAACTCATCACTTTATTCTTGATTCTGATTTATTGTTTCTCATTGGAGCTTAAATCATGGCTTCTTAATAAACTGAAGAGGAGTACTGAAACTTGGTATCTCTAATGCCAGTCCCCTATAATCTATCAACACCTCTATAGAGTGAATTTATCTTCACAAAAATGGGCAAGTCATCATTATTTGGCTCTGCTTTTATGTCTTCAAATTCTTTCCCATTAGTGCTTCCAACAGCTCAAAAAAGCACTCATACTACAATAAAGCAGCATTTCAAAAGTACTGCTGGATTGATTCATTCCCACCCCTCTTTTTTCCATTGTATATTGGTACCAGCTAATGGCAGGCATCTCTTGGAAAACTGCTTGTACAAGGCAGAGAACCTGAATGCTAGAGAGACATCCTAGATATTTAGAATCATGAAAATCTAACAAGCTACTCACTTTGAGAAGGTGGCACTAGCTACTGGATACCATCTTCTCCACTTGTTAAAAACTTTGTTCTGATCCATTTCACATCCATGTGCTTTTTCCAAAAATGTAAAATGACCAGAGAGAGTTCAATACCTGAGCAAGCTGGATCAAAACACTAGCCTGGCATGTCCAGACAACAGGGAACAGAGTTAACATATGTATAGTACACTCATCCCTCTACATTTGCTGTGGTTAGGGGTACAGGACCCTCGTGAATGTCAAAAAACCTCATAACAAAAACACTATGGAACACAAAATGGCGCCCCGCGCTCGCATGCACATGACGCCGGGAGTAGTGCGCATGCGTGTGTGAGCGTGCGCGCACAAGCGCATGCGTGCGCACCTCCGGCACCATTTTTCCCCCTTCGGCCCACCAATGATCTGGGGGACAGCAGAACCACCACCACCACGCCAAAAAGGTATGCCGACCCCTGCTCTAAAAGGGTATTTGACAATCAGGGTGCCACAGCAGAGACTGGCAGTAAGAAGCCAGCTCTTGTATTAGGCACGAGGAGGGCAAGATACCAGGAGGGAAAATCTGCCACCACTGCCAGCAGTGATCTCATTTTTTGAGTTTGACTTCCTCCTTATGTCACACTTTCCTACTCTACAGCTAAATCTCAAGAGAAGTTATTTTTCTGTTGCTCACAGAGCTGAAATTTTATTACCTGTCTTCTACTGCTCTTTGGCTTTAGTCCTCACATGGCCAATAAAGGGAATGGCCTCTGCCAGCATCCAAATCCCTCAACACCATCATAACTGACAACATCTCAAGACAGAATGTAGGCCTGTGACTCTCACACTGTCACCATTATTCTCCTGTATGATTTTTAACATCTTTGCCTTATGAAGAAACCAGTAAAACTTCAAAAGTTTGCATAATGTATTTTATGCCTCGGAGATGGCCAAATAAAGGTATCACTGCTTGTGGATTTTGTTGAATATTTTTTCCCTATCACACCCCTTCTTTCTCGCCTTCTTGCATAGATCCTCTTCCTTACAACCACTTACTGCTGGCAAAGACAGTGAAAGAGGAAGAGTACATACTTACTCTATGGATTCCTGTCATTTCTGTCTCCCTCTTTCCCTTAATTCAATCTATCCCTCTCCAGTGCTTCACCTGACTGTGGCATTCCTCCCTTCCTTCCTGCCGTCCAGTCACAATCAGAGCCATGAATTTTTGTGTGGCGG